AAAAAAAAAATTACAAATTAAGAAAAAAAAAGCAATGAAGTATTGTTGTTTAATATAATACAGTATGCAAACAGTTAGTCATTTTGGTAGCATTTGACGATATATTTACTTTTAGGAGGGTAAGCTAACATAATACGGCAAAGATTATATAATCGATCGATATTCTATCATCAATACCCCGGGATACGGGAATGATAGGATAGTAATTGAAAGAAGGCATTCGACAATTTGTCAAATGTAATCATTAAGTAAATAGAAGTTGTATGGATGATAGAAGAATGTGTATTCTATCTATCTTACTCTTCAGCTAAACTAATATGACATTTTTTTTTTTCACCCAAAAAAAAATGATGAGGAATGATGATGAGAGATTGTCATTTCGATTGATATGATGAAATGGAATTATATGAATTAAATTTAATTGTATATATTTAAATTATGCATTGAAAAAAAAGGAAAAAATGAAACATTCTCATTTATAAATAATAGAAAAGAAACTCATTTAACAATAAGTATATCAGTTTTTAAGTAATGTAAATTGAATAAGAATAAAATTTGATAGCTATTGAAAAATGTATTATTTCAAAAAAAAAAAAATTCTCATTTTCTGTTACATTATAAAGAATATTTTAAATTTGAAATTAGAATAAAATTGAAATCGATAAGAAATGAAAGCAATTGGTTGAATTACTTATCGACTTTACCACTTTCATTCCAATTCATTGTCTTAAGTGGTATCCAACAGTGACTATGAGCGGTATCCTAAAAGTATTTTCTTTTTTGACCGTAAAATGGTGGGAGAGATAAACGATGGAGGGAGGGATGGAAATTATAAATATAGAAAAAAAAAAAAAGAAAGTCAAGTTTGGGATCATCATTATTATCATATTTTTGCATTTGATTATTTTTGTTAGTCTTGTTAGAATTGGTTAATCATCAATTTATATCCTTTTAATTAGGAACAAATGAAGGATTGAATAGTGGATAAGGTAATAGCAAAATAACACATGTATCCTAATTATACTACCATCTTTTAAGATGAAAGAAGCTTCCGAATAATGATTAAATTAATTAAGCGATCAGGAAAATGTATTAGTTAATTAACAAACCAAAATGTTGCTTGGTAACTTTATAGTATTTGAAAAATTCATCAAATAAATTAGTAATTGTTGTTTGGAACATCGTAAGGATATACTCATTAATTAACCAATCAATCAATCAACCAATCAATCGATCGATCGATCAATTAATCAATTAATCAAGTATATTTATGTAAATGTGGACAAAACTGATTAATTAGTCTAATTTTAAAGATTATAACGAGTTAATTAATGATTTGAACATTTTGAAAAGAAAAAGAAATACTTAAAAGTAGAAGAAATAAAGTATCACAAATGAAATTTGATTAATAAGAAATTGTTTTTACTTATCATTTAATATTATTTAATCGAATTTTCAATATAAGCTTTCAAAAAAAAAATTAAATTTAAATTTTTAGCTTTGCATATACCTCTCATTAATTATCTGTTATGTTTAGAAATCTAAAAAAAAAAAACTTGGGAAAGATTTGATTTTATGATACGGTAAATGAATTTAATTGTAAATTTGAATAAATTGAATAGCAGTTCATTCTTTTCTAATTTCTTTCCAGATATACCAATTCAAAAAATATTTTGCGAAAATGATGAAGCAAATCTGGAATGTCCAATTGGAAGATATATCGATATACGATTAGCAAATTATGGACGTTTCACTTTAAGCCTTTGTAATCCAAGTCATCGTACTGATTTAAGTACCACATGTCAAAATGATCGAACATTAGCTATAATGAAATTAAGGTTAGTCTTTCTTTTTTTTTTTTTTTGGCTATTTTTGAACTTTTTTCTTTGTGATTAAAATTTTTGGTTCGTTTTTGTAAGTGATAAATAGAAAATGGTTTTTATTTATTTTCTTTATAAATTAATTAATCGGTAATTAATTGAAATTCCGATATTCTTTGGAATTCTATCCGTAAAACGTTTTTTCTTTTTTCCTTTTTTTTTTTTTCGCTAATTTCCAATCGGGAGAATTTCATATTTTTATTCAAGTAAAAATATGCAATTCACAAGTATATCTTGAATTAATTAATCAATAGCGGTTTAAAAAAAAAATTAGCATATTGGTAGAAAATTATTGAATGCTTATGCCATCTGCTATCTAGTCTAGTATATTTGCTATCTAGGCTAGTATATTTGCTATCTAGCCTAGTATATTTAATATTTCACTTAATAAATCAATCATTGTGGTAGCCTGAATTGAAATTAGTTAATTTTTTGATCACATTTTAGTTGAATATATTATTTATTGCTTCAATTCATAAGGTTCATAACCTTTTTTTTCCCTCCTTTTAACATTGAATGTTAATAAAGCTTAGAGCTTAGGAATGAAATTTAAAAATTAGAAGTGAAAAAAAATTATTTGTGAAGTTTTTCTAAATTATTTTCATCCTCCTTTTTCTTTTTTTATCATTTTCAGATTTAAGTGGCAATAATTGACAATAAAATTTCTTTTCTCTATTTCTCCTACCTTTCTCCCTTTCTCTTTCTCTTTCTCCCTCTATTATTTTCAAAAATATCCATTCTTTTTCAAATTAATTTAAGATTTAATAAATTTATGAAATATCCTTCATTAAAAATGATTTAATTATTTAAACAGAATTTTCCTTTTTCTTTTTTTTCTTACCAAATCTTTTTTTATGTGATATTTCATCTTTCTAAATGATAATGTCAAATTTTGTTTTTAAATTTTTCGAAATTATTTTTTTTTGCATTTCAATTTTACGAAATGATGTAATTGTTTACAATTTTGCAATTATTTTCAATGAATTTTTTTTCATAAAAATAATAAATTCATTCACATTTGCAACAAATTTTAAACTTGAAGTAATTAATTAAAAAATAAGTCAAAGGTCAATAGGTTGATTTCTTGGTGCATATTGTTATGTAAATATATATCTTTTCAGCTTACTGTAGTATGTTTTTTTTTCCGGGATATTCATCATAAACTGGATTTTATTATGGTAACTTTCAAAGTATGATATTACCATTGAAAAGTAAACATATCAATTTGCATTCATGCAACTTCTCATATTCTTTTCCTTCTTTTTTCCTATTTAATTGATTTAGCCTAAAAATTTTCTATAAATATAAATGAATTTTCCAATTTTATGAATGGAAATCATCCCAATACGAATGATTGAACTTTGAACTTTTGAACTAATTAATTGAAAATATTCCGAAAATGAAGAATTTAACGATGCTTTATCTCAATTATCAATCAAAAATGTAAAGCTTTACAATATGTACAATAATTTTGAATAAAAATAGGAGCAAACAAATGAATTGAATAAATTGATCGATGCTTAATTAGTCGTTCTTAATTTTAGAAATCATATCAAAAAAAAAGAAATTCAAAGTATATCAATTTGTTGTATTTCATAAATTCCATCAAATCAATGAGCTAATTCTGTTCGTAATTTTATGTTTTATCCACTTATTATGCTTAATCCATCAATTTACCTATTTATATATCCATTCAATGTATCATTACCATTAATTAATCACCGGTAATGTTTGATCGTAACCATTTAAGAAGGTTCAAGTACATGTTACTTTTTATCAACCTATCGTAATGCTACTTATTTTCCCGTTATTTGATCCATTTTATTGAGAATGAGGTCAACAGCTGTTATTGCTTACTGTATGTTAAGCAAACATAAATATTCATTTTAAGTGAAGTATGTATTACTGTAAATAATCAAGCAAGTTTTGAAATAGTTTTTATTAGGAAAATTTTAAGCAAAAATATAAAAATATCATCGAATATGATGAAAATTTTCGGTTTTGTGACAATATCAATTACATTTTTCTCAACTTTGACTTTTTTGACATATTTATTTATGAATATTTCAAAATTATACTTAAATTACTATAGGATATAGTATTCTGATATTTTGATCAAACTTGAAAATATTTATTGAATTAGCCGAATATAATTAAATGATTCGATCCGATATTTCGTCTAACTTTTTTGTTAATCAAAATGAAAAAAATTTCAAAAAAAAAATTAATTTAAATTTAAGTTTTACTTGAAAAAATTTTTTCTCAGAAATACTACAAATTTTAGGCTTTCTGAACAAAAATCTCTTACAGTTCATTTAAAAAAAAAAATTATAAAATTTTAGTTTAATATTGTAATAACAAAAAAAAAAGAAAAAAGGGAAAAGAATTTGTTAATAAATTCTTTTATAAAATATAAAATTACTTTGAATTATGAAAAAGATCATAACCTTATCAACTTTATCATAAAAATATAAAACCGGATAGTACAACAGATTATTGGAACATATCAGAATAGTAATTCAATAAAAATTTAAATTTTTCACTTAACACAAATTAATTTAGTTAACTGTATAAATGATTTATTAAAATACTCTTCCATCAATTATTTAACTTGATAAAATTTCTTTATCTTTTAAAGTCAATAATTACTTTTCCAATATAACTTAATATAACTTTGATAGTTAAGCAGTTTAAGCATAATTGTTAATGATGGTAATGATGATGATGATGATGATGATATATTTATAGGGATTAGCCTTTAAAAAGCACTTATAACAAAAAGAGAGAGCAGGTGTACGTACTTACCTTTCCATCTTATATCTTGAACCAGATAGAAGCATGTACTAACACTAATGATAATAACATGAGGCTTAAAAAGCCGACAGGAAGCATGGCTCTATTTTTGACCAAAGGTGCTGAGGCGTGAAATTAGACCAGTTTTTTTT